TGTATTATACTATACTATATTACTATAGAATAGTAATACTTGGAGGAGACGGGTCGTATCATGAGGTGGTCAACGAATTAATGAGAAGGAGACAAGAGGAACAAGGAGTGGATATTAATGATCAAAATGCAACCCTATTTGCATTGAATATTCCCATAGGCATGATACCAACTGGTAAATTTGTTTTTGTTTTTTTTCTTTAATGATTAAAATGTAACTGACTCATTTACCACTTAAAATATAAAAAAATTGTTCTATGTAATTAGGAACTGCTTGTGGGGTGACAGAATGTAACACTGGAAACACCGATGTTCTAACGGCTGTTCTCCATGTTATTAAAGGTAGGGTTCGGCAAATAAACAGCAGATTTAGTATATTCTTGTAAGTGCAGTCCTAAACTTGAAGCGATGATTAGATATATGTAAACCAAATGCGACGAAGTTTGTGTTTGTTGGTGTGTTAGATATCTGAACAGTTTTGACAATATCTTAATAATGTACGAACAGGGAGGATCGTGTCATCTCACCTACTTGCACTGTACAGTAACAGAAAACTCCTGGGATTTGGCGGAACAGACTGTGTTTATGGAGTCATGACAGTTTTCTTATATTACTCTGACACGAAGTTCCGCTGGCTTGGTCGATCACGATTCTTCTGTATGTAAAAAGAACATCTATATCTCATTTTATCACTCTTTTAATGAAAAAAATTCTTATTTTGAGTATTATCTCATGAGATTTTTTAATCGTTGAAGGTTGTATTTTTTGTAGTTGTTCCAATATGGATGTTTTTATTCAAATCTCAGACAAATCTAAATTTTGATGCCACTGTCACCTATTACACATCGTAAGTATGTTAGATTTTACACTAAAAATTACTGAGTATGCTTGAGGAGGGGGATGGAGGAGGGTTAGAATCTTGATTGATCTAAGACATTGATGTGCAGTAGAACATTAGTATTATGTCATCAAAATAATCATTTACTGGACGTTCTATGATGTGAAATATTAATATAAAGAATAGTAATCAAGATCAAAAGTCCATTGGAACAATACAAATTGGAAGCAGAGCAAACATGGACCTCTAAAAAACGAGAGCTGGGATCAGGTGTCATGGTGGAGTAAGCAAGCCCTGTCGACCATTCACACCCGTAGTGTGCTCCTTGTCTTGATCGGAGAAACGGGAAAATCTGTAGATAATTCAGTATGAAAATAATTGCCTAACCATTTGTATAAAAAAAGTCAGTCAACATCCGACTTGTATTGATGCTTTGAGTGCTGTATTGACCCTAGAATGTGCGTAATGTTGACGTTCTATGAAAGCAAATATATAAGCAAGTTATTTTAAAAATCAACTCCAGTCACCTGTTCACATGCAAACACTCAACTGACTCTGTGATGAGAGATTACAGTCCATATAGACAAGCTTCAGCTTGGAAATAACGTGCTATCTTATCATGATAGCGTAAATACGAGATATTCATTGAAGTAACTTATTACTCTAATTGTACATCTAACAAGGAATGTATCCGAGAAAACGCATCCCCAATCCTTTTCAGGAATCTGTAAAGCGCTCTGATAGAATCGGATTACAGGTAATAGAGGTTTAGATTAGTTAAAGGTATTGCCATTTCAAGCCGAAATATAAAAGTTGTGAATATGATGCACACATTTTTTAAATCTTTAATTTACCTGGGTGCAGAATATGTTTTTAAAAGCTACTTTTATTTCTGATATACCTGTTTGGTATCTGTTATTTGTTTATCAAAGTTTAAGCTATGTATTTTACAAATCAGGGTCAATGAGCAAAATTACAAAGAAACCAGTGAGCCAGATATTTGTTGAAGACAAAAGGCTGTCAGGATATAGTTCTTATACCTCTGATATAGGTAAATATTATATCACAAGATTTTGTACTATAACTTAAGATTGGGTTCTCTTGTTTTAGAGCGGTCATTAAATCATTTCAATGAAGTAATTTCGTATAGATGAGGAAAATAACAATTCTGTAATTTAGTAATATAAAATATAATTATTTATTGATTATTATCCATTTGTTATGGACAAATATTGCATAATAAGATTCTCAGTTTCTAAAGGACAGTGCTTTTAAACATCGCCATATTGAGCCTTTATCTCTTACTAAGGAACAACTTTTAACAGTGACCTTCAATCGCACGTTGTGGAACATAATGACCGTGAATGGTAACTTCATCTTTGGTGGTAAAGTTGTGTTTGATGTACCCAGAGTGTTTGTCCCCAAACCCACCACGTGCTCCTCCTTTCTTTCCTATGGCCATGTATCAGCTGGGGTCACGAACAAATTCTTCAAACACATCTGTAACAGGACTCCCATGGTAAGCCGGAAATGATGAGCTTCCAGCTTTGAACAAAAGTTCAAATTGTTAATGTCATAAATAGCTCAGCAATTAAGACAATCAAAAATTGGCATTCAATTCAGTGTAATTATTTTCATTTTAATGAACCCCCTCTATGTAAAAAAAAAAAAAATCAGCCAAAGCATTACACAAATATCGGTATTTTTAAAGGAATTCTCGGACAAGGAGTTAGAGGTTCTGAATGTCCAGGGGCTTACGGTGGAAGTAAGGGACAGTCTTGATAGCAAAGATCTAGAAATGGCGACGTTGAGGCGTCTTATACATCTCGATGGGGAGATGTATCAACTGGAATCTCCTTCATTTCAGATATGGTAGAGAGAGATTGATTCCTTTAGCTAATTTAAATAAATCAAGTCATAAACTTTCGATGAGATTATGAGAAACCTATCAAACAGGTATTTTTCTTGATATCACGATACAGTATATTTATCTATACATGGAATTTATATAGTGTCGAAAACCTTTAGCTTCTCTTTCATGCAATTTATGATGACTAAGTTTATCTTTTTGTGTAAAAGTTAGTATCAAAATAATAATTATATCTTTGATTTATATCTGCGCCAAAGGATAAGATTTAATTTTAAAAATAAATGATTAAAAAATTTAAATGGAATAATATACCATTAAACCTAAAATATAATTTTCAGAAATTCTGATTGTTTTTCCAAATTTCATTTTTTTTTTAATGATTTGATATTTCCCCGAATGATTTTTTTTTTTTAGGTACAAATTGGACGTTGTACAAATCTTTTCCAGTTATTTGTGAAATAAACATCATAAGAGAGCTTTTTAAATTCACATGCACAACAAACTAGAGGTTTTATTGCAGTATGTGATGACACGCTGCACAGAAAAATGCAAACAAATTGAATAAGATACCGCATATTATTTATAGTATCGTAAAACGCTAAAACGGGCTAGACCAAGTTCTTTTGACAAGAAGTAATTCCTTTAAAGACCTTTAAAGACAAAAGGCCCAAGGGCCTGAACGGTCACTTGAGAATTCATATAATACGACACTGTAAAGGATCCCTAGAAGTATATTTTCTCAAAAGCAAAATAAATAGGATGATCGGAGATCAACAAAATAGTTAATCAAGTACTCAGTAACAAATCATAAAGTAATAATAAAATAATCTATTTACTTCCTTGCATTTGCCAGTGCAAGTTCACTTCCATTTGTCTCTATCACCATTCACATATGGTTAATCCATCACATTCCCTCCACTTTACCTGGTCACACTCTTGGAAAGTCATATGCAGTAAAACAAGCAACTGTTGTGCATTCCCAGAGCTTATGTATAAGTTTTGGCAATACTTATTGAACATCTGCCTGTTCAATCATCCAGAAAATATCAATACAGTACTCAAAGCATGACTTGTAGTATGTACCCTAAGCTGTAGCATGTTTGCATAACTGGTGTAAGTAGGACCTGGTACGTGTTCTTGGGAATGGCCTTGCTGAAATAAAGTTCTTGATCAATGTATCTCGCGTGTGAAATCTGATTCAATAGTATTATTGTAAGCAAACTTGATGCCATCATCCATGTAATTTTAAGGGCATATGTATATTAAATACATTTATGTATTTGTTACGTTAAAAGTTTAAATCTAAAGTTTAAACTTATCTTTAACTACAGATAGTTATAGATAAGTTTAAAGTTTAGATTTAAACTTTTAATGTAACATATATATTTAATTTTAGATTTAATCTGCTAAAGGATTTTTTTCTATTTTATCACAAGTGTTTTTTGCATCAATCGAATTATCTGCAACCTTACCACGAGGTATCCTTTGCAGTTAGAATGAAAAGCTTAAAACCCAAAGTATTCAAAGAGTTCATTGTCATTACAAAATTTCATAGGCTCTTTTGAGCCTCTGGGAAACCCAAGGGCAGAGATAAAAGCTCTGAAACATTATTGCACATTAACGTTTCACGACCAATCATTTGGAATTTTTGATACTGGACAGTTAAAATATAGGAATTGTTTCAATGGTAAGGTTTAATATTTGAACCACGCCTCTTTAGACTTGGTGTCAACATCGAAATTTCAAAACTTTATTACACATCTATACAGGACCAGACCAAACAAAAGATACAAATAGAAGCAGTGACAACAAGTGTGATAAGCGGATGAGGATAACATATGATAAAAGTTTATTTTTAATCTTAAAAGTGGGTATAGTAATTTAGAATAAATTATTATTATTTTTTGTTAATGAGGGTAGGTCGGTGCCTTGGAGCACATGGTAATTGCCGTTTATATAGATATTAAGTTTTCATTGGCTCAGTAAATCAATAAATATTAATATTACACTGCAAAGCTGACCAGAGCATTTCTTTGAAAAAAAAAAAAATGATTGTACATCAAGCATTGCAATGAGAAAAATTACAAACATATCTGTGAAATAACAAATAACTATTATTTATGTCTCTTGTAAAACTGCATCTTCTATGTACACATAAATGAAGAATTGATGAAGACATAAATAAATACTGGCGCCGAAACATTGTGTAGTTGGTTTTTTATTTGAGATGTCACAAACAGCGAGCTGTATTATGAAGAGTGATGTCAATTTAGGACATGCATTGGACTTGGGCCTTTATTCCTGATTTCATACGCTTTAAAAAATAATCACGATGAAAGATGGGGTACGATTTGATTGTGGATGGTTTGCAGACCAAAGTGACTTTACATGAAGATAAGTTAATGTTTGAATCAAGTGGCAAAACAGAGAGTGAGTATACTTGTTGTGAATACATATTTTTAATTCTTTGAAAGGGTGTTTTTGGCATAAAAAATGAATTATCTGAGAAAAGAATCTGAAAAATGCTGCATAGTGGTTAGTTAGATGAGGTAAGCTCATTTTTCAAAATGTATAAATGTAAACATAGATATGGTGACCAAAGCTTGCCATAAATTGGGTACAGATCTTGAAAGGTTGTAAGAATTCTGACGAGTTACTAAGTAATGATGTGCTTTTCTTTAATGATTTTCTGGGTGGATAGTTCTCTGAAGTAGTGTCCTCATATTGAATAAGGTCCGATTTTTAAAATTAAGTTTCTCGTATGAGAGAAAGAAATACAAAACTCTCAGATGAAATTTTCTTAATGCGAAGCAACGGAATCGGTATTTGAATTACTAGTATATATATATATATATATATATATATATATATATATATATATATATATATATATATATATATATATATATATATATATGTTGTAGAACTGGGGAAAAAGGCTGCTTATTTGTAGTATACATGATGCAGATTTACCTAGATGAAGGCTCATATTATGATTATGAACACCATAAATTGGTAATTTGATGTATATACGATGGTTGTCCTGTAAAATCGTGGACAAGTTGTCTATCGATAAAAATAATCATCACTGCGTTCTAAAATTTTCACTACTCTTTAGGAATTTTTTCATAGCAAATTTTAAATAGACATATGCTCAAATAAACAAAATATGAGATTTTATTTGATGCGTGGTATCGCCTTACTGTACACGGATGATAACTTCATTGATCGTGCGCCGATGGTAAATAAACATTTGCTGAAAATTCAGCTTAGTGCTCCGATTACTTTTCGATAAAAACGCTTTGTCCACGATTTTACTGGAAAACCCTCGTATATAAAAACAACCAGTCTTGTATTTTAAATTTGATTGGATTTTTGTTAGTTGCATTTTTAATTTTGATGATTGTTTTCGATATTAATTACAATTGGAAAGATTCAACAATTTTAATCACGATATACAAGAGACTTAAAAGCATATTTATTAGATAAAGTTGCTATTTTTATTAACGGTTGAACTTTTTCCATTCCTGTAATACATGTACAGCTATTAGATATTTGTGAAATATATAATCAGTAATTTGTGCCTCCAACTGGAATGGATTTTCCTCCATTATCAGTATGATAGTATTCTGATTAGTACATCAATAGTATTATGTGCATTCGAAAATTGATAGTATATAAATGGTAACCGAACAACTAACATTTAGAGGATGGATTTATTTACTAAGTACTGTAAAATCATACATTTTCATGGGATCAGATTTTTATGGATTGAGAAAAAGTATTGGTTTTGGGATTGAGGAAGTGCTGAGTTGTTATATACATGTATTTGAAAATTTACATTTTGTGGAGGACATGAATTCGTGGGTCTCTTTTTTATCATGAAACAACAACGAAAATTAACCCCCCCCCCCGGAAAGTGATTTCACAGTATATAGAAAGAGTAAATGATTGACATATGCTTTGTTTTGCTTCTTTCAGCCAGTTACCAGTTAAATGACGTCATCGGTTGTGATGAGGCGGTGAAGGGATGGTTTAACAAGACTGAGTTTACTCGATTATGGCTTATCGAAAATGGTGCTTCAAATATGCTAATGAAAGAGTGCAAAATAATATCTGGGGATCAAAGGAAAGATTTTCAACAAGATTTGACTAAAAGGATATCAAATGGTTTGTTATCATACATCTTAGTATTTGTTGACTTTCAATTATATTGCCTAGTAAACTAAATAATAAAGTCCTGGGTGTAATTTTGTCCTTAAATTTTATTTCAAATTTTGCAGGAACAAAACGTCCCAAGAGAGTTTTGATTATGATAAACCCTATTGGCGGTAATGGAACAGCCATAAAGGATTTCCGGAATATCGTGGAACCAGTTTTTAAACTTGCAGGAATATCCATGGATATAATATGTAAATACAGCTCACTTACTCGAAAAAACAAGACATTCCAAAATAAGGTATTCCTCACTCAGAGTATTTATCTTCCATTTCAGTTTCTGAACGTGCAGGTCATATGATAGACGTGGCAAAAACCTACGACATTTCTAAAATTGATGGGTAATGCTTTGTATTTGTCACTTTGAATATTGCTCACAGTTGTTCATATCTCTAGGACAATTCATTTTCTACAATTTTACACTAGCATTGTACTACTTGGTGGAGACGGGTCGTATCATGAGGTGATCAACGTATTGATGAGAAGGAGACAAGAGGAACAAGGCGTGGATATTAATGATCAAAATGCAACGCTCTCCCCCTTGAACATTCCTATAGCCATGATACCAACTGGTAAATTTGTATTTCCTGTAATTTTTTTTAATATATATTTTTAGAGTCTAATGACCGAAAAATAATGATTTGATCTTATACACCCAGGAACTGGTTGCGTGGTGACGGAAAAATACACAGGCTGTAAAGATGTTCTTACGGTTGCTCTTCATGTCGTTAAAGGTAAGGTACATGTACATTGGACATATTATGAACTATAGTTTTAAATGAGCGAAACTCTCTATTCCATTGTTGTAAAAATACATGTATACAGTGTAACATTTATCGAAACTCGTGAGATTAGTCTGAATCAAATATATAAATTTATGTACTTTGCTCTTCGAAAGCTTGTATTTTTTCTGTGAAAATGTATAATTTTTTTTTGAAAAAAACCCCCACACTATTATGTATTTATAGGGAGAACTGTGTCATCGCACCTGCTGGCTCTGTACAACAATGGTAAACTCCTTGGATTCGGAGGAACATCATGCACATACGGAATCTTGACAGATCTTTTCTACTACTCCGACAGGAAGTTTCGCTGGCTTGGACGATCGCGTTATTTTAGTACGTACGTATAAACGACTTTTCAAAAAATACATGTATATTCAATATTGTGTAATTTTAGAGTTTTTTCTGAAATTAATTTCTCACGAAGATTTGTTTTCTTAAATTTACAGTTGTTCCCATGTGGATGTTCCTTTTCAAATCTCAAACAAATCGCGCTTTCACAGCCAAAGTCACCTATTTTACATCGTAAGTTTGTTATTTTTGACTTATTAATCATGTATATGTTTCAAGGGGAGGTGGAGAGGTTGTAATATCGTCTACAAGAGAATACTAAAGCATTGCAACCAAAATACCTGGGTTGCTATACATATGCATTCAGTAGACATTCGCTACAAGAAAATATTTCCATACGATTAGTATGAGATACCTTTAAACGAAAGCATGTAAGCGTATCCCTAAAAATGGATGAATACATTTATTCACAACTGATATGCAAGCGTATCCCTAAAAATGGATGAATACATTTATTCACAACTGATATTTTTAGTCTTCGTAGACAGGATTGGGAGTTGAAAATTTTTCAATTACTGATATTTGATTCAATTATTTACATTCAATTAAAAAGCAACCGCTTGCTTTACATCTGGAGATGTAATGTCTGCTTGCTTATTTTTTGAAAAATTGCAAACAATTATGTAAAATAAATAAAACCCAATGTAAATCATTTACTGTGCTTATTTTGTCAAGCATTAAAGGCAGCCCTTTATCATTATATTATTTTAAAAAGAGAAGAGAATCATTAACATTAAAGAATACATTGATTTGTGCTGTGGATTTTTGAAGTTTCAATCCTGTGTTTATACATGTACCAGAGTTACCGAAAGACGCAATAGTGAGATTAATGAGACGGAGATCTTTGTTGAAGACAAAAAGCTGTCAGGATATAGTTCTTACACTTCTGATACAGGTAAACTTTATAGTTTTCTTGTTAAACGTGTCCTTGTGGTAAGTACATACGTAATTATGTATTCTTATACATTAAGAAGATAGCAATACCAGTATATATATAATCATAAATGCTATACAAATGAATATGATGTACTACTAACGTAACTGTAAAAAATATTCTTACAGTGATCTTCGACCGGAAGTTGTGGAATATGATGACCCTAAATGGCAACGTCATCTTTGATGGTCAAGTCGTGTTTGACGTCCCTAAAATGTTTGTTCCTAAACACACCACGTTTTCCACCTTTCATTTTTATGGTGGATTTTCTGCTGGGGTTATGTTTAGGTTTCTCAAACACGTTGCTAGGAGAACGCCGATGGTAAGATGTTGAAGGGGGGAGATTTGTGCAAAAGTTCAAAGAATTCTCAGTATATGCTTCAGCGATTAAAAAATTTTGGTCTCGTTGGACAAAGATATTACATGTATTTTGTTAAGTTTATAGCTAACTTGAGTACAAGACTTGGGATAATTTTCTGATTGATGTCTGTTTATCAACCATCTTTTTGATTGTAATTTAGTTTTGACCCCCCCCCCCCCACCCCCCACCCCCAATATAGGGTGGGACTAAATGTTAAAAACATCTTTTCAAAAACAGCAGGATAATTATAAATCAAATTTATATAAATCAGCCTTACGGTATGTAGTATAGATTTTTTTCATCAAAATCATGCCAAACCTCATCCCCCTGAGCTAGGGAGGTGTCACAAGAGGGACAAAATTGGACATGAAATAGTAGTAAATAGGTAAAATATTTAAAATCAATCTCATCAAGAACAATAAGGGCATAATTAGTTAAGCAATATAAGCAATCCTAGGTAGTGTTTATTCACATTCAAATCTTGTAATGGAGCACAGTTTCAATACAATTCTCAAAAACATCTGGACCTGTGCTTAATGCAAGATGTATGGAAGCATTCTCATTTAGAGGTCAAAGTTTTACATAGGACTATATATGTGGGAAAATCTTCATAATATTCATCTATAAGAAAACATATAAAGCAAAATTAGACAACATTCCAATTCCATGTGAAGTTTTATTCCTGAACCGTGGGGTCTGTCCACAGGAGTTTGAAATTTTATGAATAAAGTCAATAAAAATCATGATTAACCAAGCCATAAGCTTTGCATTAGCATACAGATAAAGCTTTAATTTATTCGTTATACTCTCAAAACAATTTTGATGTACACATATACCTTAAATGAAAGCAGTCTTTACCAAGGTACTTACTTCAGCGAATCAACTTGTGATTCCGATGTACTGTGTTACCACTGAAGTTATAATTATACATGTATTTTAGAATACAAACTTTCAATAGTTTTTATCTGATTTGAATAAAATTTGGTACAATTTGATAGAGCATTTAACTTAAAGTAGGAAAACTTGTAATTGTACATTATTTCAAAAATTCACAAATCTAACAACTTTTTAAAAACTTTCTGTCTGATTTCAGGAAAATGTTGTACAAATGTACCCTAGATCAATACACATTAGAAAGAAGCGATGCTTCTTACCCCCCTTTTTTATAATTAAAGAAAAAGCTGTACGTTGGAGTGAACAAATACCGGTACTGTTTAAACCACATCAGTAATACTATGGTCTTCTCAGATAATTTTTTATCATTAACATTTTATAAGGATAGAAAAATAACCAAAAATCATTGAAAAAAAATCAAATTAATGTTTTAAAGGAAGTCTCAAATAATGATTTGGAGGCATTAAATGTCCGAGGGTTCACGGTTGAAATGAAAGACAGTTTTGAGAACGAAGATCCAGAATTGACGTTGTTGAGGCGGCTGATACAGTTGGACGGAGAGATGTATGAGCTGGAATCTCCATCGTTTCAATTATGGTACGAAAAAAATAATGGTTGCATATTCAGTTACGTTTATAAACACTTTTGTAATAGGTAATGTAGTGATGCACAGGTAATATAGTGATGCCAAAACTTTTCCTGTGTGTGTCTTTTCCTGTGCGTGTGTTTGAACAAGTTTATAAAATTAATACGACCTTTTATTCATTTTACTAACAAAGGTCGGGAAAAGTAAAATTAATAAAACACACACTCGTCACATTTTTAATCAAGATTCGAAAACTGTGCGAAGAAATTGTTTTTTATGAAGAAAAAAATCAAATAAAACAACTATATCTAGATATAATGATGTGAACATTCTAATCACCTTAACTCTCAAATCTTTTTTTACTGTGTATCTTTCCTTTCCATAAAAGTTTTTATTGCCTTTTTTCAGGTACAAACTGGACGTTGTACAGATCTTTTCCAGTTATCTGTGAATTACACTTTTAGCTTACCTGAGCTGAAAGCTCAAGTGAGCTTTTCTAATCATCCGTTGTCTGTCCGTCTGTAAACTTTTCACATTTTCGACTTCTTCTCAAGAACCACTGTGTCAATTTTAACCAAAGTTGGCATAAAACATCCATGGGTAAAGGGGATTCTAAATTGTTCAAATAAGGGTTTAGCCTGCTTTCAAAGGGAGATAATCAAGAAAAGGCAAAAATAGGGTGTAGTCATTAAAAATCTTCTTGAAGTTCTTCTCAAGAACCACTGAGCCTGAAAAGCTGAAACGTATGTGGAACCTTTCTGAGGAAATTAGATTCTAAATTTTTCGAATCAAGACCTCCGGGGTTAGGGTGGGGCTACAAAAAGGGGATGCAAGTTTTACATTAAAGTATATAAGAAAAATCTTTGAAAATATTTTTAAGAACCACTGGGCCAGAAAAGGTGACACTTGTGTGGAAGCTTTGTGAGGAATTGTAGAATCTAAATTGTTCAAATCATGGCCCCCGGGGTAAGGTAGGACCACAATAAGGGATGACAGTTTTACTTTGAAATATACATGAAAAATCTTTTTAAAAAGCTTCTTCTCAAGAACCACTGGACTAGATAACGTGAAACTTATGTGGAAACTTCGTTAGGAAGTTTAAATTCTAAATTGTTCAAATCATGCATATGACCCCCCAGGGGTAAGGTAGGGCCACATTTTTACATTGAAATATATAAGAACAATCTGTAAAAATCTTCCTCTAGAACCACTGGACTAGATAAGGTGAAACTTATGTGGAAGCCTCCTGAAGAAGTGTATATTCTAAATTGTTGAAATCATAGACCCTTGGGGTAGAATGGGGTCACAATAAAGGATCCAAGTTTTACTTTGAAATATTATTGAGAAAAAGCTTTGAAAATCTTAATTCCTCTCAAGAACCACTGGATTGGAAAAGATGAAACTTATATGAAAGCTTTCTGAGTAAGTGTGGATTCTAAATTTTTTAAATCATGATTTTCAGGGATATAGGGTGGGACCACAATAAAGGATCAAAGTTTTACATTGAAATATTTCAGAAAAATCTGAAGAAGAATAGCACGGTTCCGATTATCTATATGGAAGTATTCTTGGGTGGTGTAGATTCAAATACTTGAAATCATGACCCCAATGGTACGGTGGGGCCACAATATGTGATCAAAGTTTTGCATAGGAATAAACAGGAGGGCCATAGTGACTCAGGTGAGCATTGTGGTCCATGGGCCTCTTGTTTTATTTTGTTTTGTTTTGAACATATTTTATTATGTAATAAATACATAACAGGGTTGGGCAGCAGGCATAGCCTATATAAGCCCTCTTCACAGGTACAAGGTTAATTGAAATATACATATTACTATATATAAATACACGTTCATATCACCAATAAGTTTTAGATAAGTAACACAAAATTGAATGGAATTTAGGAGAAAAAAAAGAGTGGAGAAAAAAAAATCAAATGAATACCGGTTTATGTGAAAATGAGAGAAAAAACTGAAAGATGGGAATAATAGCAATTTATATAAAATACAATGAATGTGTATTTGATTTAAGTAAGAAACAAATATTTCATAATTTCACATCATTTATGAAACCTCTTGGTTTGTGAAATATATTCATGAACACAATCAGACAATTTCATATTTTTTGCATAAGGAATATTACTATCACCAAATAACAATAGATTTAGAGATACAGGATGTTGCAGGTCCATACTAGATATAAAATCAAAAAGAGTATTTCTTTGCTCAACATAACATGGACACTCTAAGAAAAAATAATATGCATTTTCAGTATGAAAACCACAGTTTTCACATTTGGAACTTTCATTTATATAATCTTTCTGTAAATCAGCATTTAAACTACTAGCATTATTTCTTAATTGACAGTGAATAATATTTTGACTACGATTTCCATGATTAAAAAGCTTATTGGGAGTTCTGTAATGAGCCTTTTTAATGGCATTAGTGTATGAAGATAGAGTTGATAAATTTCTAATATGATATGGTAAATTATTCCATAGTTTAATTGTAGATGGGAAATAACTATTCATATATGATGTGGTCCTAGTTTGAGGAATAAGAAAAGTAAGACCATCATTGTTTCTTAAGGAATATGGGGAGTGGGGTGGAATACAAGGTTTTAGTAGATCTTGAAGGTATTGTGGTGCTATCCCATACACTATCTTGTAAAATAATATTAATTTATGTACTTTCCTTCTGTCAGATAATGTATTCCACCCCAGTTCATCATATAAAAGTGTTCTTGATGAGTTCACTCTCATTCCTGTAATAATTCTTGCAGCAGTAATTTGAACTTCTTCCAATAAAGATGATTCCCCTTCATTAATTATCCCAAACAACATTACCATATTCTAAGACTGGTCTAATAAATGACATATCTATTTTTATTAACGCATCTCGACAAAGAGAATGTTTTAACATTCGTAGAACATTTAAGCGTTTACATGCTTTTTCATACGTAATTTGTATGTGAGATTTCCAGTTGGCATCACACTGAAAATTTAGTCCTACTTGTTTCATAAGTGTTGTATGCCTTAATCGTACTTTCAAAATTGTTAACATACCAAGGACTTTTTTGTATACTTTGTTTATTTGTCCATATTCTTTTTGAAGAACTAGTTGTGACACGCCAAATGAGCAGAAATGAGCTTTACATTTACATTTCATAAACTAAGGTTATCATTTGTAAACTGAAGTTTACGCAGCGTAAGCTACATGATTGATCTCTATAATTAACATCTCCAAACCATAGTTTACACCCCAGCCTGTGTCTCCCATGTGTAACTGAAGTATACTTACATGTATCTGTGAAAAGAATGTTATTTTATACAGTTCACAACTTTAAACTTCAGTTTACAGCTTTGTAAAGCGCTACCCCCCCCCCCCCCCAAATGATAAACAGAGTTTTATGTTTGAGAAACGTCTCTTGTTTTGTATTAAATTTGCAGATTTTTATTTTATTTTTTTTTTTGAGACTCTAATGTCCTGGCCCGATATATCCGACTTTTTACAGGCGTTTTTTAAGATTTTGATATTTGACTGACACGTCAAATTTAAAAATCTTCAGTGAAAAACGCCTAGAAAACGTCAGATATTTGGGCACGTCAAATATCAAAATCTTGAAAAAAGCATGGAAAACGACGGATATTTCGGACTAAAAGTGTCCTAGCTACATGTAGTTATTTCATAGTGCAATCTTTCTTCGCCTTGCCACAGTTTTTGTATTTTATAAAGTATATGTTATGAAGTCTATTTTTATGCCAGCATAATTATTTTTATACCTATACCTATTTTTATACCTATCGTCTATATTCTAGAAAATAATCATGTGCATAAATGTATGTTATATTAAACAAGCGTGTATTGATAATTCATTTTTTGTTCTTTCTGTTGGACATGTAAATCACAGTGTAGAGCAAATCACTTTATGTGTTTGATGAACCTCTCTCATAAATCCATGTAATAATTTGATTATACTTTAAGAGGACAGTTTTTTGATTAGCTATTTAATGCTTCTGAAAAAGAAAGCTCTAATAAAAATTCAAGAATTGCATATAAATATCATAGCTTGAACATGCTTTTTTCTCTTTACTATATATAAACAAAAAGAAATGATTTTTTGCATTAAATTTAACGCCTGGTATTAGTAATCACACGTGTTTACATGAATAAAAATATGTGTGGACCCATTATTATTTTTGGGTTTTTGTAAATTTTTTTTTAAAGGAAAACAATATGAAAGCACAAAATGCGTAGTTAGTACACAAAATTAAATTAAATATGAAACTATTTTGCATGCATAATTGTATAAGAACCGCAGGCCCGTACGAAGCAATTTCGGTTTGGGGGTACAAGTATATATATAGGCAAAATAATGTAGGGGACACAAATGATAATTACCTTTTTACGAAGGTTGTGAAATTTTAAAAATTTGTGAGAAAAGACGCACTTAATTTCCTAAACAATTTCAAAAACGCTACGAATTACGTTTTAAATCGTCGGTGTTGCACTAATAGCTACTATAGATACATGTATTTAAGATCTTAACCGAGAGAAATATTTTATTTATTGAGATATTTAATTGAAATTTCTATGTAGTTTTTAAAAGTATTTAAAAATGATGATTATATCTATCAATATCTATCTTTATATTAGTGAAAAAAAGTTAAAAATGTTTGCGTTTTTCTGGGACAACCCTTGTATATGGCAAAAATTATTAGGTGGAGGGGGCATGCCTCATCTTGTAGTGACATGTACACCCGGTTCCTACGGACTGAACCGTTTTAAATGTAGTCATTCTGGTAAACGATAAGATTAAAATTGCCGGCAGACGTCTTTCTCTCGTAATTTCCCATGAATTAACCGGACATGACATCATATACATGTTTCATATCTGGATATTTTACTAGAAATAGATGTTCATGGTAATCTAACAACAAAGCTTTATGATAAACGTGATGACTTTAACTTTTCAATCGTCAACTTCCCTTAGTTATGCAGCAATATACAGTACCCTTATCACCTGCATATAGGGTGTTTTTCTCTCAGTTGATTCGATACCCAAGAGCATGCTCTATATGAACAATTTCTAAAACGAGGTAAGTCTGTAAGGTATTGACAAACAAGTTGATGAAACAAAAATATCAACAGTTTCGTTTAAAGTCATCATTTCGTAAGTTCTATGGTCGATACAATGACCTTGTCGGCAAATACAATTTATCATTAAGTCATATGCTGATTGACGTTTTTCATACTAATTGTTAGGCCATTATTTACACACTGAATATTGTCGACGTATTTTCCCGTTATTTCCCGGTCATGTCAAGGAGCACACGGCGGGTGTGACCGTCAGAGGATGCTCACTCCTTCATGGCACCTCATCCCACCTCTGATTTTTTTGGATGTCCGTGTTTGCTCTGCTTCCGATTTGTATTGTTTTAATGGACTTTGATCTTGAATACTGTTCGTTATCTCAATATTTCATACATGTATACCACCCAGAGTGCCTCGTAAAGCATAGTAAAAACTTTGCAGAATAAAAAAAATTACTAATTTTTCCATTGGAGTTTCCAAAGGAAACAGGAGCTTTTATTTTTTCTGAGGTGAAAAACAAGATTTTAGAGGAACTTAGATGACTTCAGGACTACTGTGTAACGTATTCGTAGTGTTGTTAATTAAATGTGGGTACTTAAAAATTCCTAGGAACTTTTAGAAAATTTGAGATCACATTTTACCATAATCAAGCATTAAAACGTATTACTTTTCAACACTTTATACAACTATTTCTCACGATAAATGAAAAACTGCATAATTTTTTTTTAAATCATAGACAACTGTTTCTTCAATAAAAATGGAACACATAAAACATACCTTGTCATTGGTCAACAGATGCAGATAATCGCACTTCAGTCATAGTTCTGCAATGAACAACAGGTGATTTCTCGTTCCCGACAGTTGATTTTTTGCCATCTGAGTAAAGACCATCCTTAAAGTCAACTTTTTGCTGTTAAACGGTCTGCAATGAACAACAGGTGATTTCTCGTTCCCGACAGTTGATTTTTTGCCATCTGAGTAAAGACCATCCTTAAAGTCAACTTTTTGCTGTTAAACGGTCGATACAATCACAGGAGTTCGCGTACGTACCTCTCAATTTTACCAAATTTTTCAGTAAATATAAAAAAAATACGTAATACCTATAATATTAACATAGGTATAACGTATTTTTTTTATATTTACTGAAAATTTCGGTAAAATTGATAAGTAAGCAAACTCCTGTGATACAATGAAATTATTTGCAAATATAGTTAAGTCGAATGTTGACTAACGTCTTTCATACGAATTGTTAGGCCATTATTTTCACATTTAATTGTCTACGGATTTTTTTTGTTTTGTTCTACCTGATCATAACAAAGAGCACACGGCGGATGTGACTGGTCGACAGGGAATGTACACTCCTCCGTGGCACCTGATCCCATCTCCGTTTTCAGAGATCTGTGTTTGCTCTGCTCTGTATTGTTTGATTGGACTTTTAAGCCTGATTACTGTTTGTTATCTTCACATTTCATGTTAGCTCTTGGATTGGATCAGATTTATGAACACGGGAGTCTTGTTGATTTTTAGCTCCACTTCATGGCAGAGACCAGAAGAACTTATGCAATACTAAGGTACTGTCCGTCCATCTATCTGTTTTTCTATAATGCTCCTCCTCCTACAGTTTTGGTCCGATTTCAATATAATTTGGCACACAAGTATACATATATATCTACTACCTGATTACATTGAGATACATATCATGATGATTCCGTTTATCAGTTTTTGATCTTGCATGATGAATGGTGTTGCCATGGTCACTGAAATAGAAATTTCTGTGAAAAAGATGCTGGAGTTCCTCATTGACAATATCTATGTAGTCTTTGGAGACCAGGTCTTCCAACAATCTGTTGGAATTCGAACGTGCACTAATTTGTGCCCCTGTATTAGCCGATCTTGACCCTTACGATTCCGAGTCCCAATACATTGTTGGTCTGGTTTTTATAATTCTTTATAACCAAGGCTAATAAATATCGATGTTGCCATAGATACTTAAAAAAAGAATAAGTGAAAATCCATCAACACATGGTACAAGTTTAGAAAACATCAGGGACATAATATACAGCCATGCCAAGAAATCCCGTCCATTTTTCCACAGCGATAGAGTCAATAAAAGCTTAATTGATGCAAATCACCCATATTCCCCTAACGCTGGCGAGACAATTAACGGCAGCAGATTTGAGGGGGTGGATCCTAAGTTTTCCGTTTTCTTAGTAAAAGAAAAATAAACTTCTACCCCAGGAAGTAGCCTCCTATGCCCTGAAAAAAAAAGTTCCTGTCAAAAACCTTTAATTGTTTACAAAATATGTAAAATGCACTAGACACAGGTACCAAAATTGCAAAAATAGACTGGAAGGAAATAAAAAAAAAAATTCAAAGGGGAAAAATAATAGCGAGCGCAGCGAGCTCAATAGACTAACGTGTAAGAACAGAGAAAATTCGGAATGAAATCTGTACATACGTCAGGCAAATGGACACAGACTACCAATTATTTTGCTATACATTCCTTTATAATGTTAAAATTAATATAAAAAATCACACCGGCTCAACTTACCTGAAACTTGGCATAGAGTAACAACAATTCAAGTCCAAAAATTTTTCAGGCTCTGGGGAAAATTCATAGTCTGCAAGTCCTGCTATAGCATCGCAAATAACCCCTACCCTGCTTATTTCACTTTTCCTTCGAGGAAAGGGTAAACATGGGCCTCTTTACACCCTTCCTACTACGCGCTTAAAAGCAAAATTTCCCATTATTATCAATTTTATAATTTTTTTCAGACCCTCTCCTTTCCATCTATGCCCAAAAATAACCCCATTCTACCCCATATACACCCCAAAGAATTTTTAAGAAAAAACCTCTATTTTTAAACTGGCACTACTTGCGTGGTCAATGAAATAGGGGTAAAATTAGTAGTCTGTAACCTAATAAGGACACAAACCTTGTCCGATTTTGCTGAAATCTGACATGCCGGTGTCTTTTGTTTATACAAAGCAGCTGATGATGTTTCATTGAAATTGATGATTCCAAAGCAGAGTTATGGCCCTTTAATTGAGGTGCTGGAACACCTTAAATCAGAGGATGAAATGAGCATAAGACACACAGTTCTCAAATTTGAAATGCTAACAACTCACATATGTTACAATTATTTTCTTTCTTTATATTTTGGTATACTAGATAAATATGTCCTATACAAAATTCAAGAAGCAAACTTTACCTATTACATAAATAAATATTTTAAACAATTTTTCAAAAAAATACCTTCAAAAAGCAAAAAAATTCTTGGAAATTTTAAAAATAAAAATATTTAGCAAATTCTAATTTTAGTAAAACTTATATTAAAAAATTCTACAATATATATGCTTTAACAAATCAGTATAAAAATTAGGGAAAAAAGATTAATACCTTTGTTATAAGCAGATTATCCAACCTGGTTCATTCAGCCTCTGTCAGGAAGTGGTACTTACTACTCTAATTGGATTATCCCTGGTCATATTTAGACTTCTTTAATGGGTGTTTCATGTAATAATAAGCATGATTAGACAATAAATACCATAAAGTGTATAAGATTTTGGTTTTTATAACTCTGAATTTACAAGAAAAGGAATTTAAACATGCATTTTACCTACATACATTCTTCACTTTGCTGTAGAAAAAGGGGAGGTAACTCTGCAATAGAAAGGTACAAAATAACAGAAAATAATTATAAAGCATTTCATATACTTTCAATGGTTCAACACAGAAAATACATACCATGTCTATGTCACATATAATCACTCCTGGAATTACTTGGAAGTTGACTACTAAGAACAAAAGGGGGGGGGAGGGGTGGGGTGTATAGAGATAGTTATATTAAAATGCACATAAATTCTGCCTGCTAGGTGGATCACTATTTTTGCACAGTGTACATCTAAATTCTTGAAAACACCTGTCCTTGTCCAAAGAAGATGATTTTGTCTGATATGCGACCACAGACAATGATGTCCAAGACGCCTCAAGATTAGAGGAAGTCAGTAGGACTAAACATTCCATATGAAATGTTGAGCACCTTACTAACCTCCCCTGTCTTGGACAATCACAGATCAGTGCCAGCAATCAGACAGCAAATGTGTAATTCCAAAAGCTGAAAGAAAAGGAGAAAGTTTTAGAGACTTTAAACCAGTTTGGCGACAGATGATGGTGATAGATGAATACATTACAAAAAAAAAAAATTGGTACAAACTTAAGAGACAGTTGATTATATACCTTTAGTTAAGGCTACTGTAGAGTAATATTGTTGACGGCTGTTCCATGTTTTCTGAATACTCATTTGTCTCTGCTGCTGGTAGAAATTTGTTCACTTCTGACTTGCAACTGGCCTGAATTTTTAAAAATGAAAGAAGTCTCCCATTCAGGCCACTGCATACAATCCCACCACATCAACTGAAAATGAGCCACTGAAAAAAAAATACTCAACTTTTAAAGCACTTTTAACTTCAATTCACATTCATAATTAATAAATAATTGTATCAACTATAATTACATATACACCAAGAGACTAAAGTTTTGAGGAATAATGCATTTCTCTAATACTAAGAGCAGTGTAAAAGAACAATAAAATGTTATAACATACCTGTGTTTTTTGTACTCCATTTGAAATTTAAAATAACTGGATAGGTGAGGAATGTGCTCTTTGTCAGCTACAACATTAAATATAGAATCAAAATTCATATTGCATAAATTCTTGACACTTATTAATTGCACACATTACATCATACCCTTTGACAAACACGAGCAGGTGCCCCCTCCCCCTTTTCAATTTTTTAAATCAATCTAACTTCTCCAAAATACAATTTTTTTCATTAAATTTGTCAACAATTTGCATAATTAGTTATAAATTATCCAAAAAGTGCCAATAAATTGATTAACGTGAGTTTTGACCTTTGACCTGATAAGGACACAAACCTTGTCCGATTTTGCTGAAATCTGACATGCCGGTGTCTTTTGTTTATACAAAGCAGCTGATGATGTTTCATTGAAATTGATGATTCCAAAGCAGAGTTATGGCCCTTTAATTGAGGTGCTGGAACACCTTAAATCAGAGGATGAAATGAGCATAAGACACACAGTTCTCAAATTTGAAATGCTAACAACTCACATATGTTACAATTATTTTCTTTCTTTATATTTTGGTATACTAGATAAATATGTCCTATACAAAATTCAAGAAGCAAACTTTACCTATTACATAAATAAATATTTTAAACAATTTTTCAAAAAAATACCTTCAAAAAGCAAAAAAATTCTTGGAAATTTTAAAAATAAAAATATTTAGCAAATTCTAATTTTAGTAAAACTTATATTAAAAAATTCTACAATATATATGCTTTAACAAATCAGTATAAAAATTAGGGAAAAAAGATTAATACCTTTGTTATAAGCAGATTATCCAACCTGGTTCATTCAGCCTCTGTCAGGAAGTGGTACTTACTACTCTAATTGGATTATCCCTGGTCATATTTAGACTTCTTTAATGGGTGTTTCATGTAATAATAAGCATGATTAGACAATAAATACCATAAAGTGTATAAGATTTTGGTTTTTATAACTCTGAATTTACAAGAAAAGGAATTTAAACATGCATTTTACCTACATACATTCTTCACTTTGCTGTAGAAAAAGGGGAGGTAACTCTGCAATAGAAAGGTACAAAATAACAGAAAATAATTATAAAGCATTTCATATACTTTCAATGGTTCAACACAGAAAATACATACCATGTCTTTGTCAATGAAATAGGGGTAAAATTAGTAGTCTGTAACCAAATTTTCTGGTGCAACATTCCCAGAATTCCTTCGCTACCAGGGTTCCATGCGAAATTCTTACAAAACATATAAAAGACCAAGGATAATCATTCATTACCAAGAGATACGTTTACTTTTCTTTCTTTGCAGAGAGCTTAAAAAAACAAAAAATAATTACATCTACTCTAGCTACAACGTATCTCATTTATTATTGCACAAAATCTTTAGTTTCGTTCAACCAGACGCTCGGCTGTCTTCGTAAATATTCCGACGTCCTGTGACGTCACAGTCTAGACTGTGTCTCGTGCGGTTTGACGTTTGAATTTAAGAGGCGGATCAACGTTACAAGTGTAAGCTGCTATAGCTTTTTGATGTATAACTGCGCTCGCCCCAACGGTCACACCGTAAAACATATTATAAAATATAAAACGTTTGCACGTTGTCGAGAGCTTAAAATTCACAAAAAATAATTGCATTTACCCTACAACGTATTTCGTTAAAAATTGCACTAGGCCTGTAGTCTCGCTCAACGGCTGTCTCCGTAAATTCCGACGTCATGTGACGTCACAGTCTAGACTGCGTCTCGTGCGGTTTGGAAGTGAAGAGGCGGATCAAAGTTTACAGGTGTAAGTTGTGTAAACGTTTTTGATGGTACAAAGTTCTGCGCTCGCCCCAACGGTCACACCGTAAAACATATTAGCGTGCGCAGCGAGCGGCGCGAAGCGCCGCTCGTCACTGCGAGCTCTTTAAGCAACGCCTGGGCGAAGAGAAAATTCGGACTTTGCACATTGATCCAAGTGAATTTTTTTCCGCAGTTACCTGTGGTCCCATAATGCTTAGCGAATTGCATCTCGCCGCAAACCACGTTCTCGCGGTAGCAACAAAAATTCAACAAAATATAAAATCACCTTGATTTAATGGATATATAGCAGACAGATAGTAGATTAATCGTTTTTGATTAAAAATAGCACTGTTCAGACTTCGTTTTGGTAATATGCAACATACGACGTCATATGACGTCAGAGTCTAGACGTACCAAATGTCACGTGCTGTTTGACGAGCCCGATCTAAATTAAAACTGAAAGGTATCTGCGCTCGCCCTAACGGTCGCACGGTCAACATATTAATTTTATATGTATGGAACTACAATTGACTAAGTTCATTTTCATTGGTCAATTACCGGTATGATACCTTAATAAGGCGCGAGACTTCTACAACAACCAAGTTCATCGTGCCCGATGTTAATTTATACTAGGAAAAAACTATTTTGATATGGAAACACTGAAAAATTTGAAAGGCGTCTAATTTTTAATGAACAATTAATTAGTTTACTACAATCTATTTCATTTCTTTTTCTTCAATTTTACTTTTTTAACCGCATATGATTTGCATGGAACCCCCCCCCCCCTTTCAATAAAAAAAAAAAAAAAAAAAGACGGGAAAAAGGTGCAAAGGCTTCTAAATAATAAGTATTCTAGCTTTAATTTAAAACCAGTAAAACTTAAGATCCTTCCCTCAAAACTGCTGACATTAATTGCCTCGCGCACATCTCCCTGGGGAAAAATCACGGATTAACGCTAATTCCGCTTTTATTGAGTTCGCTCTAAAACTAGAATGCGTACTTTTTCTTGGCATGGTTCTGTAAATGTTAAACTAAAAAAAAAAACAAGTCTAGATGTAAAACTTTTCTATTTCTTCATTAAATTGCACACCAGTAGAGCTAAATTCTAATTGGAAACTTTAGTTTTTATGAGAAAGGTTAGAAGTTTGGCTGTTAGGAATATTGTACCTTTGCATTTTTCCGGAAGTTTAAGTGTTGCATTAAATCGGTTTTATAGTCATGTGGCGTAAATGAACTTCCTGTTGTTTTGACACAGATAAAACTGGCTGGAAGTGCGTTGTGGACTTTTTAGTCCTAGTCCTAGTATCTTTCATTACTTTTAATTTTTGGAATTTTTGTATCTCAGCACAAAATCTGCGCTATTGTAAAAAGATGCGCCGTTCTGTGTTCCGACTACAGAAATTGAGGCCTCAAAGTGCGGTAAACTCAAATGTCCTTGGACACCAAATTGGGATATGCAGCTTCCACACATCATGTACACGCCAGAAAGTGCTTACTATGGACACCATGAATCCATTTGTCAAAAACATGGAGTACGCTGTCCGAGGACCCATTGTTATAAGGGCAGGAGAAATCGAGGCTGAGTTAAAAAGTGTAAATATTGAGCAGTTGCATAACCATGATGATTAAAGAGATATGTGTCATCAATTAGAAATGAAATAAATCCAATTTAATAATATGTTGACGGTGCAACCGTTAGGGTGAGTGCAGATACTTATTCAGTTTTAATTTTGATTGGGCTCGATCGTCAAACTACATGAGACATTTGGTGCATCTAGACTCTCGCTATTGCATTATTAATAAGCGTAACATTTTTATTTATAACCTTTATAAACCTCAAAGAAAGTATTGTAATGTGGTGGTCAGGCAGGTTGATTTGTGTAATTGGTGGAAAGCTAATTGGAACATGACTGGCGTTTAGGTGGCCTGGTCCCTACCTATTACATTACTGATTTTACTGTCATTAGCTTCACTGCTTTCCATCTTTGTTATGTGAATTTACCTGCATTTAATTTGATGTTTGCTCCTGTGACAGTTGTTAAAAAGTTTATTGATTAAAGTAAAATTTCCAAGCTTCCAAGAGGGGGTTTGATTAAGAAAAAAAACTTTCTTCGTTGACACTTTAAACCAGTAATGTCTCTTGATATATGGTGCCTATCAAGAATTTTTTTTTCACATACAAGCACATTTTTCTGGTTCAATTTATATATTAAATTAGGTGAGGACACTGATTATTCATTGAGAATATTTTTTAATAATAATTAACTTGCAAGACTTTTAAGAAAATGTTACTCCACATTAACTTGAATTTATCTCTTTTCATATCAGCTACTACTCTTTTTTTTTTAAAAAATAAATTACCAAGTAAATCAGGAAGTAGTTGAAAAGGTTATACTTTTCACCTCAGTACAAAGGAACACAATCCACAAAAATGGCTTTAATCTCACAAAAATGATTACCCTGTATTATTAAAGCCACTAAAAGAAGTATTAAAAAATAAATCAATTAAATGTGTCCCTTACTGGTCTCATGTATTTTTCTCTGCTTACATTATACCCTGACCAGTTTAATCTGCCTAAATCAAGTTTAAATTTTCTTTATCATCATCATATGTTTGGGTTAAGTATATTTTTCTATGTATAAATCCAAAAAAAAAATGGACTCTTACAATATTTGAATTATAAATACATGTATTACATATACAACAAGCATTCTGAGAGTATTGCATTAGCAATACTAGTCCCCTACCGGCAAGTGTAATCTGGTTCCCGTTAAGAATTAAAAATGTCATAATTCCGTCAAAAATCAATGAAGCGGAACGAAATGCAAACTTGATCTGTAACTCATCAAGATACACTCACGTACCAAAAATCAGCTCAATATCTGCAAGCGTTTAGGAAAAAAGTGTGGAAAACCAAGTGGGACAGACTGACAGACAGACAGAGGGACAGACAGACAGACAGACAGACGGACAGACAGACTCAGAGGACAGACTAATAAAATTTTCTTCAAGACTAGATATGAATGTAAATAAAACTTGATTATTTATCAAATATAAGTTGTAGATAAATATAAATAAAATAATATTTTTAATATGAATTAAGCATGATTGAATGAGCAAAACTTTTACTAATTTTGCACTTCAGGGTGTTGTAAAGGATTTTAAGGATGTTATAAGGGCAAACATTGGGGATTGTCATGCAACTGGTCAAAGGCCATTAACTTTCCTCAGGCAGGTAAATCAATGTTTTATATCCAGATTGTTTTACTGTGTGTTTGATTTCCTTTTTTTTGGCAACTTAAAGGGAGATTATGATCTGCTACAAAATGTGCATTTTTTGCCATTCTACATGTTTTTGTTTTCTTATAAAAGATTCATGTATGGTAATGATTTGTAGGTTGTAGCACTGTGTACAGACCCGGACCATTTAATGAGGAACCCCGAGTATCCAGAGGATGCCAAGGAGAGGGCTAGAAGAATCTTAAATGACTGTGGTGGACACAGTATAGGTAATCTCTTTATTACAACAAATCATTCTTAATTCAACCCATGCCAACAAAGTGTGAAAAAAATACCATGACCATGATTAAATAATAGATAAAAATATTTGAATGTACAAGTGTAAATTTTTAGGTGCCTACAGTGATAGTGCTGGTGTGAGGGTGATCAGAGAAGACATTGCTAAATACATCAAAGAGAGAGATGGACAGCCTTCTAATCCTGATGACATTTTCTTATGTACAGGAGCAAGTGATGGCATAAAGGTTAGCAGTTTTAGATATTGTCAAGAAATGCAAGGTTGAAAAAGATAGAGACTTGACATTGATGACATTTATTGTTGATGAATTTAGAAAATAAGCATGTGCTATGTTCTTTTATTACTTGATTACCTTCCCAAGTGGTGTCAGTGCCAAGTAGTCTTTTTTTTAAACTAACTTACTTAACAATAAATTTTGAAATTCCTTAACTTCTAGACAATAATGAAACTGTTGATGACTGGTAAAGATGGAGCAGAGAGAGCAGGAGTTATGATACCTATCCCCCAGTATCCACTGTACACTGCCACAATAGCAGAATACAATGCCTATCCAGTAAGTATCCACTGTACACTGCCACAATAGCAGAATACAATGCCTATCCAGTAAGTATCTACTGTACACTGCCACAATAGCAGAATACAATGCATATCCAGCAAGTATCCACTGTACACTGCCACAATAGCAGAATACAATGCATATCCAGCAAGTATCCACTGTACACTGCCACAATAGCAGAATACAATGCCTATCCAGTAAGTATCCACTGTACACTGCCACAATAGTAGGATACAATGCATATCCAGCAAGTATCCAGTGTACACTACCACAATAGCAGAATACAATGCATATCCAGCAAGTATCCAATGTACACTGCCACAATAGCAGAATACAATGCCTATCCAGTAAGTATCCACTGTACACTGCCACAATAGCAGAATACAATGTATATCCAGTAAGTATCCACTGTACACTGCCACAATAGCAGAATACAATGTATATCCAGCTAGTATCCACTGTACAATGCCACAATAGTCAGATTACAATTCATATCCAACAAGTAGCCACTGTACAATGCCACAATAGAGAGAATACAATGAGTGTCAACTAAGTGGGCAATTTATTCATAAATGACATTACAATGCCTATAGTAAAATAGTAGCTGTAACAACCTTTTTTGATGGATGTCCTATAAACAATATTTTAGAAATTTAGTTTTAAATCCTCGATTTTCAACATTTCACTGACTAAACTTGCCAAAGTCTCCATTAAATTCTTTTTTATATTATCAGCTAGGTGATTTGTGTTTTTGCCTCTTGTAGATCAGTTATTACCTAGATGAAGATAATGCTTGGTCTTTACATGCATCAGAACTCAGGAGATCTCTAAATGAGGCTCGTAAACACTGTATACCAAGGGCTCTAGTCATCATCAACCCAGGCAATCCTACTGGTAGGCTTGATAGTAAAAATATAAAGAATTCACTATAAAAGATTTGATTCCTTCCCTTTCACTGTGGTTGTTTGATGCATTATTTGTGCTTAATTTTGATATGTATATGTATACGTATAAATTTAAAGGAAATTTGATTACAGGTCAAGTTTTATCAAGAACAAATATTGAAGAAATTATCAAGTTTGCCAAGGAGGAGAATCTCTTTTTAATGGCGGATGAGGTAAATAATTTATCAGACTGTAACATATTTAATACATACAGTTGTTTTCATTAAACATTGGATAATTACTTGAAAACAAAGAATGAGGGTTCATTTGATTTGGATTTGGCAGGCATCTGGCCCACTTGAAAAGTGAAAATTTCATTGATCTGTCACATGATATTTTAGCATTCTATTAATAATTGGTTTCTGTGATGTAGGAATGCGAAAAATTTTCCCAATATTGTGTTTTGAATTGCCAAAATATGATATAAAATATGGCAACATAGTCATTTGGTACAAAATGGTACATTTTGAAACACATTTTCTATAAATTTGCAGTCTTGTTCATTTTTCCACAATTTTAAAACTTGATTTGTGTGCATTGCATTTTAACTCAAACATTTGTCAAGAATAGAGAAAAGACCCAGATGTCTATAAAAAATGAACTTTCCCCCAGAAATCTTGTTGTGTAAATGCAATGCTTCATTGTCGTTTTAAAACCCAAATTTAGTACCAGGTTATGTTATGACAATAGCACAGTGGTATATTTTACCTGTACATGACAGCGAGGAATTGAAAGTTTTGATTCAATCCTGTCATGGAGCATTCAATTATTTGAAGTGATTCTGTGACATTAAGTCTGTCAAGCTTGGTGAGCCTGGGTATTTAAAAATGTGAATGATTCATTCTCATGATTCCTGCAGATTACATGCCAAATATGCCCATCTTCTTTTAATTTTATATGTTTAACTCGATGAAAATATGTCACAATGCTATAAAGTGACTTAATAGTGATATTGGTACATTGTTTGAAAAAATAAATTAGAAAATTGATTCAGAAGTAATTTAAATAGATGACATTTTGTTAAATTTGAGTGTTCAAAATGCAAAAAAAAAAACAATGCTGCTATTTTAAGGACTGAAAATCTGAAATCATCCATTTTCTTTCATTGTAAATTGATCTCATAAGCATTTTAAAATATTTTGGAAAAAATAGAGAAAAATACAAGTGTCTAAGACACATTAACATTTTTTACAGGTATACCAGCACAATGTCTATGCAGAACAGTCTGAGTTCCACTCATTTAAGAAAGTTCTGATGGAAATGGGGCCAGAATACAAAGATATGGAGCTGGCCTCCTTCATGTCCACCTCTAAAGGTTTCATGGGAGAGTAAGTCATCAAATAGTTCAAGGGTAAAAAAATACATGTACATTCATAGACACATTAAAAATGTCTTTCTTTTTTTTTATTGCTACTCTTTCTTACAATAGTAACTGTGTAATAAATTTATATTCTCTTCATATTTTTCTGGTATTACCAGAAATCAAAGAATCTGATTTACATATGTATGTACTCTATTTTTTTCACCTAGATTTCAATGTTTACTGCAATAATAATTACTGAACAATAGTATACTTACTGAGCAAACGTACATTAATGGTTAATGTCTGTCATTTCAGATGTGGATTCAGGGGAGGTTACTGTGAGGTTATTAATCTGGAGCCTCCTGTCAAGGCCATGCAGGTCAAGTCCATCTCAGCCAAACTCTGCTCCTCAGTGTCTGGCCAGGTATAATAGAGTTTTGAAATGAAATTTAGATACACAGACATATTATGTATAAATAATAATTAAAAAAACATATCCCTCCAGTTTGAGATAACAATTCAGTCTTGGCAAGTGTTTGATTTGACATATTGTAGATCACCAAATTTTTCTGACATCTAATTTTTGCAAGATTGTTAATTGATGAATTTTGTTCATTGTCATATATTATCTTTAATTATACAAATATTGGGAGAATGAATTTTTGAACAGATTAATAGATTAACAGATTTGCATAATTACACGAAAATAAAGTTCTCGTGAATAAAAAGTGATTTACAGTAACATTTTTATTAACTGCGCACCTAAAAATAAGTTTTTAATAGTACTCATTTTTCCATAAAATACATTATTGTAAGTTGGAAAACAATTCTGTAATAATAAAAAGTGATTTTTTCTCTCCAGGTTGCCATGGATGTAGTAGTGAACCCTCCAAAACCAGAAGAACCATCTTACGAGCTTTTCATGAAGGTAAATCCCAAATCCTACTATTCTATCATATCTGGGATTTTTTTTTAAATTGGTGAAAATTGTGATGGAGCAAGTCAGTTTACTGCAATCTTAACAGGAGAAGAACCTAGTGTTGGGGCAGTTGAAGCAGAAGGCTGCACTGGTGGCAGAGACCTTCAACTCAATGGAGAGGCTGTCTTGTAACCCAGTACAGGGGGCTATGTATGCCTTCCCTCAGATCTACATGCCAGAAGCTGCCATTGATGCTGCTAAGGTAAGATTTCCATGTTCAGTAGTAAATACAGATAGGGTCAAGGTCAAAAAATGTATACCATTAGATTAAAGTGAGGCAATGACAAAGGGGCAAGGGATCTAACTTATACATGGAACATGATTTCCATAATTTTTTTGTAACTATATTATATAAAAGATAAATGCCTCCCTTCAAAGACTATTGACTTTGAGTGAATTTTAGACATGTATCATGATTAGAACTGTGTAGAACACAGTTATTAATTGTTTATGAAGTAGAGAGTTGGGGAATGGATGTGCCTGTAATTTCACATTATTTTGATATTCCTAAAACTAATTTTCTATTTAGAAAAGGGGAATATCACCTGATGCATTGTACTGCTTTGATTTGTTGGAAAGCACTGGGATATGTGTTGTTCCTGGATCAGGTTTTGGACAGAAACCAGGAACCTATCACTTTAGGTAATTTTGAAAATTTGGGAAATAATGTTTTGTTGCATAGAATTTTTTAATAATAAACTACAGTAGCACCAAGTTCTGAATCGTTATGCCTACAATGTTTGTGAAATGTTTTATAATTTTATATGGAACCTTGAAAACTTTGCCAAAATGTCACCTGTGATGTGATGAATGCTGAGTATCATTACTTGTATATTTTACTTCTGATATATTTTAGGACAACAATACTTCCACCTGTTGACAAACTAAAAGAAATGATGGAACGTTTCAAGAAATTCCATATTGGATTTATGCAGAAGTATAAATAAGAATTACAAAAAAAGGATTGTCGTGCGTGATATTAATAAGGATGTCTGTCAGTGAAATATCAATGTCAGCTGCAATGTTTGTCACATTTGTGTAAAGAAATCATTTCAAAATTTGTTAATTTCTCTAGATTTACATGTGTCATGCAGAGCAAGGTATTTTTTCTGAAGAAAGTTAAAATTAATGTATTGTTTTGTAGTAGTTTATTGCTGTTGGTGTGAAATCTATGTGGAATGTTTTTGAGATCTGATATCTGGCATATTAACTGTTATCTGGCATAAATATCAGGGATAATGTGAATCTCTGTGCAGAAATTGATTTTTTTTATCAGAAATTACAAAAGTTACCCCCATGATATCAGTCTTTATTTTTTTCTTTTGACTTTTCACAGTTTTTATTCAAATATTAGTGCTGTTCGTATTTTGTTTGATACTAATTTATATTGTTAAGTAAAACATGTACTTACATATTTTTTAAAAGTAATATGTAATGTGTAAAGTTGCTTTTTTTTTTAATTGTACATGTATATTTATATACTTGCCAATATGATAAAGTATAGTTAGCATGAAATGTAAAGACAAGAGTGGATCAGGAAAAAACATACCAAGTCTTTAAACATGTTGAAATAATTTAAAGAGTGTTCAATAATCGTTATTGCTTAGTATTTCAGTTAATTGTAACAAAAAAAAAGTCTGTGTAATATGAAGATTTTGCATAATGTATTTTTTATCTTAACTGCATATTTTGTTGTGTGAAATAAAAAATAATTAAAAAGGTTATGTACACTATCTACTAAAAAAAATTGTAGAGATTTTGTACAAGAACTGTTCATCATTTTATTATGTATTTTTGTTGCTGCTTTTGAAGATTGCAAAGCTCTCTTCACAATTAATATATCTAGTGAATATCCATGTACAGTAAAACGCACTTATATGGTGAACACACTTGTAATGAATTGATGCTCACAGTGAAGTGATTTTCATTCCCTCTGGCTGTAAAATACATTATAAGCTTATTATTTAACGAAGTATGTTTATAATGAAGCAAATTCGTCCATCCATGGCACTTTGTTATAAGTGTGTTTTACTGTATATTAAATGTGCACATAATATTTGCTTAGTTATGTATGGATTTTGCTTGGTCTCACCAAAATCATTTTTAGCATATTTTTGTGGAAACCTCAAATAAATGCTGATGAATATGATTTTTTTTTGTTTTTTTTGGCTAAAAATTTGATGAATGGAAGTAGGGTTTAATAAAATTTTAACATTAAAATCATGGCTTTTAACCTAGCTAGCTTTATTGGTGATGAAATGAAGCATTATCATACAATAATATAAACATAAATTTGAATTTTTTAAATACAAATGTACTCTCACTCAAAAAGAATGGAGATGAATTTGCATTATTTTTTTAAAATTATGTCATCCTGTTTTAAATACAAATGTATGCAACTTATCCCAACAAACATACCATAAAGTGCATGTATGTTAGGGATGGGTATCGGCAAAAATTTCGTATCGTGATATATCACGATTTTTCGTCAAAAATATCACAATAAATCGTGATATTTTTACAAGCATTTTTTACTACAATTTCAAATGAATTTCCATAATGTTTCTTAAAAATATGCTATAAAAACATAACTTTACTTTTTGAATTTTCATTTATTTTATATAAAGCATGTTTTGATGCCATTGTTTAACTGTTTTCAACATTTTTTACACCTCCTCTTATTGTCATTCAATAGTTTGAACAAATATTAAATGAATAATTTCCAGAATTTATAGTTATGTACCAAATACCGGTATTTTAGACTCCGCATCACGATACGTATCACGCAATAAAAAATCGCGATATACCGGTATACCGATAAAATCGCGCATCTCTAATGTATGTAGACTTACACGATGCTATGTTGATTTGCAACTCATTTTACTGTGCTACTTATGGTATACATGTAGTGGTCAACTAAGTTTGTTCACTGGAAACAAGACATTCAATTGGGAGAGCACCTGTTTCATAGATTTCAGTATATTTCAGTTCAAATCCTGACTGTTTTCTCCCTTTTTACTCCCCATTACTATACTATGCTATATATATGTATAATTTGTCATGTACAAGTATGGTAATAATATTTCCATTCTCCTATGCAATTTTTTTTTCAGCTATGGTACTTGGGAAATTCCTTTCCACTATTCCCTTAAAGAATTCTCAAGTTAAAAATCAATTTCAAATTCTGTCAAAATTTTGCAATGTAATATTAATGCTTAAAATTGTTGCCAGGCATTTCAATAAGTAAGAATTTTAGGTTTCATATTCCATATATAGGTAAATCAGTATAATTAAAGCAGCAATGTTTATGAGTGAACAAAGGGAGATGCATGATGAACTTTAAGTGAATGTGTGAGCAATTAAATGCTTCTTAAATTTTTTCCTTAATTTTTTTTTTTATATCTGACTAGCCTAGCATTCTTCATAACCTTAATGAAGACAGTGTCTAGGCTCTTTAGAGAAGTGGGCAGGCTTTCACCTATTTGCAGCCTTTATTTTAAACTTTTTTTTTTTAAATACAAGGGGTGATCAAAATATGTGTTGACACAGGTGTAGGCAAAAGATCACATATAAAATAGTTTCTCAGATCATAATGGGTTTTCTATACAATTAATATATGAACCAACATATATAAAGTACTAAAGTATTTTGAAGGATTTTATGCTTGACAGAAAGTAGTAGTATGAATCTGTAGACATATTCTTTTTAATATGTTGATAATATGTCTCAAGCCTGTCCACTTCGCTATAGAGAGAAACAAATGCCTGCCCACTTCTTTAAAGAGAACAGACAGTTCCCAGAGACATGTTATTAATTTTTTATTTATTTATTGGTTTTCAAAAAAAAAAAAAAAAAAAAAAAAATAAATCATAGACGAAAATTTGTAAGAGTTCATGTGGGCCCCTCCCTGAAAAAAATCTCGGATCCTCGCCTGAAGAGTAAAACACGAACGAGTATTTCGGGAAAATATTTTCCGGAAGTTGGAAGAAAGCAGTAAAACAGTGAAAGGTAAGTGTTGTAACTGAGTTGCAGAATCTGAGTCTCTTCTGTATTCATAGAACTGTTACATATAGGATATGTACTTGTAAACAGGGTATAGAAAAAAATACACCAGATAGTGTTTTGCTGTAATTATACCTACATCTCCTTAATAATCGAGAAGAAATTAATGAGCGCAGAACATAAACATCAGAAAAAAATGAGTGTGACTAAAATGGGTAGTAAAACCCGGGCCGGGCCGGGAATTTTGAAACTGAAAACCGGGTTTTCGCTAATTACTGAAAAAATACTGAATTCTTCAGCACGAAACTTACAGATGTAATTTAATACAACAAAATGTGTCTTCGCTTAGAGTTTTAACACCAAATATTATATTGTTCAATTATTATTAACGATTGTCATTTTCTCGGTGACTAAAATGGGTAGTAAGCCCGGTTTATTCATTTTGGTGCTTTAAAGCTAATTACACTCAAAAATGGGATGTCTTTGTGTTTTATCATTGTTTATTAACTTTAAGAACTTAAATATTACGACAATTGCAAAAATTAATGTTGATAATTAAAATAATCGCCGAGTTTTGATACCCGGGACAGTCCAAAACCGGACGCGTTTGCCCGGGACAAACTGGAACATTCCGAAAAAAATGCCATCAGATAACCGGGTGCAGAGAATAATGTAGAATTTATTTTAAAAAAAGTAATCTAACTCCCCCCCCCCCCCAATAAATAAATAAATCAACAAATGGAGAAAATAAATGAAATATACACAAAAATACCGACATATTCTATTTTTTTTCTTTTAAATACTAATGGAGTTATATACTAATGGAGTTATGGACATAATGATTTGACAAGAGAAAGACTGTAGGCTACAGCTAGATTCGTATTCAGGTAATCATTTCGCCGAAATTACATGTATATGGGAACGACTTTACTTTACCGGTCCCCAGAAAAACGCGCTAAAATATAGTGTCGCCGTAGGTGACTTCAATATATATGAGATCGCGTGAGCGATCGAAAAAAATAAAAAATATGAGGTTTTAAGCCTTTTTGACCCCACATTCGAATTCAACGGTTAAAAGTTTAGTTTAAAACTTCGTTTATAAACGAAGTTTTTAACCTCGTTTTCTGAAAAAAAGTAATAAATGTTGTTTATTCAGTGAAAAGGAGACAAAAAATAATTGTGAACGAAGCGCGTGCGGCGCATGCTTAGTGCCGTTTCTTTCGTACTTAGCCATTTTTTTCATGTAAACAAACCAACGAGATGTCGTTGAAGCTGAATTAAGATCTTGCAAAAAATACAGATGCAACTGAATTTCTTAATTAATCTAAAAGAACAAGACACTAACCCTAATCTCTCGGATGGTATGCGAGGACTAACCCAAATCTCCCAGGCGGATGCTAGACCATGCTAGACTAACCCATGTGCGAGGACTAACCCTAATCTCTCGGATATATGCGAGACTAACCCTAATCAGTCGAAAACTTATGCAAGGACTAACCCTAATCTTTCAGGTGGGTGCAAGACTAACCCTAACCAGTCGAAAAATGTGCAAAACCAACCCTAATCAGTTGAGTGACGTAAATCTTACGTCATAGTGCAATGAGCGCGCGGATCTTGCGGATCTGGGGACCGGTAAAGTAAAGTCTACCCAATCTACGCAGTTGGCTTGGTTCAGTAATATTTACTCCTCTCGTCATTATCTCGGAAATTTATGGTTCGTCCCGGGTAAACGTCTCCGGTTTTGGTCGGTCCCGGGTGTTCAAAAATGCATTTATTTTCTACAATCGGTAAATATTAATAAAATAGTAATAATTTTTGGGTTGTTTAAGTTGATTTCCATCTATCCAATACAAAAAGCTGCAATTATTTCAATAATATTAAGTGCAAAACACCAAAATATGCAAACCGGGTTTGCTACCCATTTTAGTCACCGGGAAAATGACAATCGTCGATAATCATTGAAAAAAGTAATATTTGGAGTTGAATCTTTCAGTGAAGGCATATTGTGTTGTATTTAATTATATCGGTAAGTTTCATGACAAATAATTAAGTATTTTTTCAGTTACATGTATTAGCAAAAACCCGGTTTTCAGTTTCAAAATTCCCGGCCCGGCCCGGGTTTTACTACCCATTTTAGTCACACTCGAAAAAAATAAAGATTAAACAAGTTATAAATAGCATTATGTTTGATAAAAGGGAGTATAATGTTTACATTGTAACGAATAGTATATAAGGGAACTTGTACTGCCTCGCTAGTGAGCTAGCTTTTCTAATTTTTTCAAATTTTAATGATTTACTCGAAATGATATAAAATATGCTTCAACTTCAAATCTTTTCTCATGTGTTGATAACTTGTAGTTCTCATATCTCTGCTTAAAAGTGTACTATTCCATTTCTTATTTATACATGTAAGAAATACTAGGCAGCAATTTCAAAGCTGTTTGTTAGCTGAATTGGTAGATTGTGGAGTAAGGAATTTAATACACCTAGAAGATTTGCTGATGTTGGCCACTGTAGTTTAGTGGTTTTATCTGCAAAGGGTTTGTAGGGAGTGTGGTGAAAACCCTTGCATTCAAAGATGACTAAACTGAACAACAGAGCATTTTCCTGACTGAGAAACTGAGAATGGATATTTTCAGTTGTAAGATGAAATTGCAGGCTTATATATAAATATATACACTTCATGTATTCTGTGTACCCAGTAATCACAAATTGAGTTCTGCATAAATTAGTCAACATCAAGGGACTTTGTAGTGGTGTTCCTTTAGGAGTTCACTACTGTGTAGGCTATGTAGCCCCTAAATTCAAAGTCTATAACTTACAAAGTACCTTGAATAGATGGCTCAGCTATCAAACACTACATCTATGTCCTATCAAAATTCTTTTTTTTAAGAGAGAGATTGTGAAAACCAGGAATCCTAAATTTTAAGTATACCCCATATATATACCAGATCAGTACAATGTAAAATCCCAGATAGAATGCTCTGTTGATTGTTAAGGTCAAGATCATAGTAAATGATTTTAGACTGCCTTTTTGGTGCTTGATCCATTATGACGTCATAATCAAATTATACTTTCTTTTTCCCGTACTTTATGGCTGTAATAGAATTATGTAGAAAATAAAGTATTTTCCTGGAATTCAATTTG